GCAGCAGCACTTCCAGCACCTGCAGCAGCAGCAGCAGCAGCAGCCGCCCCCGCTGCCCCCGGGGGCTCAGCCCCTGCCCGCCGCCGGAGCCCCCCTGGCCCCCGCCGCCCACCCCTTGGCCGCGCCGCCCACCCCGGCCATGGTGGGCCCCCCCGAGCCCGTGGGGCAGCCGCTGCCCGGGGCCCCCCCGCCGCAGCCGCCCCCGCCACCGGGAGCCCCGAACGTCCCCCACGGTGAGCAACGGGGTGGGCTCGGGTGAGGGGGGCCCCGGGGGTGTGGGGTCTGTCACCGACGCTCTCCCCGGTGCCGAGGGCTGGGGCAGGGAGGGGGGTGTCTCTGTTGGGGTCTCCTCACCGCCCCTCTCGCCCACAGCCCCGGCGCCGTTCCCTGGGCAGCAGCCGCCGTCCCAGAGCCTGGCGGGGACCCTCGGTGGCAGCGGCCACCCCGCCGTGCCCGGTAATGCTCCCGCGGCCCTGCCCTTCGGATTGCCTCCATCCGCCATCCCATTGAGCATGGCTAACCCCCCTGCCGACCCCCTGGGCGCCTCCTTCCCCGCTAACCCGCCCCCCCTCCCGCTGCATGGGGCCCTGGCCAGCAGCATGCCGGGGGGCGGGGGGCTGCCCCCCAACTCCCACCCACCCGGCCTGGCCCTGCCGCACCTCGCGGGGGGCTCGGCCGCCGCGCACAGCCCCGCCATCGTGGCCGCCGTGCAGGGAAGCCTCCTTCCCAACCCCGGCCTCCTCGCAGGTGAGACATGGGGGGGGCACGGGGGGGACGCCGGGAGCGGGCGGATCACTCGTGGGCTCGGGGCCGGGCGGGGGCCTCAACCCTTCCCCCCGGAGCTGTGGGGCAAGAGGTGCTCGTGCACCCCCTTGCCCCCCCCCAGATGTGACCCCCCCCCCGTCCTTTGTGTTCTCTCTACAGACCAAGGCCCCCCCCTGCAGACGGACCCCATCGCACCCACCCCCAGCACGGCCACGCCCGTGCCCCCCACGCAGTGAGCCCCGGCCGGGGCCCAGGACGCCGCAGCCCCCCCAGACCGGCCCCTCCCGCCCCTGCAAGGCACCCCAAAGGACCCCCTGCCCACCTCGACCGACCTCCCTCCCCCCCCCCGCTTTGGTATTTTTTTATGATTGTCCCAGATTTTATTTAAGTGTTGGTCTCCCGGGGGGGGCTGGGACCCTGCTCCCCCCCGGCTGTTTATGAGACAGCTCCAATCCCACCTGGCACATGGGCATTTCCCCCCTCCCAAACCCAACCCCAACACCCACCCGGCTCCTTCTCCTCCTCCCCTTTTTGTTTTTGTTTTTTGGGTTTTTTTTCTTTTCTTTTTTTAAAAAACCAATAAAAATAAAATTCCAAGTCCCTGGGGCGGGAAGAAACAGCCTCGTGGTGCTGGGTCTGTCTGGGGAGGGGGGACACACGAGGAGGGGAGGGGTCACATTCAACGTTCTGAGACTTTATTTGATGCTGTGGAGCAATAATTTAGCCGATGGGGCCGAGGGGGGGCTGGGGGCGTCAGGGGAGGGGGTGGGACAGTGGGGATGTGGGGATGTGGTGGCGGTGGCAGGAAAATGAGGAAAAAGGCACAAAACTGAGTGGGGGGGAGGGGACATGAGGGGGTAGGGGGAGTCTTCAGCCACTCAGCACCATCCGGACCAGCTCTGTGGAGAGAAGAGAGAAGGGTGAGGAGGGGTCTGGTGGCCCCCCTGTCCCTAATCCCGGAGAGAGGCAGGAAAACCAAAGTCAAACGGCTGAAGAGCGCAGGGAGAACCCGGCGTCGCCACGGGGGGAATTGGGGAGGGGGGGGCTCCTGCAGCCCCCCCAGAGCAGCACCCACGTCCCGGCCCCGCGCGCAGGGGGGGCTCCATGCAGAAGGACATGCGGGGGGGCAGCAGAGTGGGGGCTGCACCAAGGGCGAGAGCGCAAACCAGGCGGCCTTTTTTTTTTCTTTTTTTTAATAAAAAAAAAAAGACACCAGGGCAGGAGAAAAAAAAAGGAAGGAAAAAAAAACAACTAGAAGTAACTGAGGGAAGGGGCGGGGGGAGGCGTTACCCCTGCGGCGTCACCCTGACAAGATGTGTCTCACAAACGCTGGGAGGAAGGAAGGAGACATGATGGTCAGGGAGGGAGTGTGGTCACGGACGAACCCCCCCCGGGACCCCCAGCACCCCTGGGACCCCCCTCCCACCCCCAGCCCTCACCTTCGTAGTTGATGCAGCCGTTGCTGTCCTCGTGCCCGGCCACGAGCTGCTCCACCTCCTCCTCTGTCATCTTCTCACCTGTGAGACATTTGTGTCACCCTGGGGTGGGGGGACACACACTGGGGGTCCCCAGGCCTTGCAGGGGGTCCTGGGGGTGGCTGGGGGCTTGTGATGATCCCAGGGCTGGTGGGAGCTGATGGGATCCCTGCAGTTGGCTGGGCTTTGGGGGTCCTCAGGGATGGCCGAGGGGTCCCTGAGGGGGTCCCCTGCATTAGTGCCACCAGGACCCCCATGTCAGCACCTCCAGGAGCTCCAAGGCACCAGGATCCCCACGTCAACACCGTAAGGACCCTCAGGGCACTGAGACCCCTGTGTCAGCACCACTGGGACCCCCAGGGCAAAACAACCCCTGAATCTGCACCTCCAGGATGCCCAGAGCACCAGGACCCCCCTGTCAGCTGCACCGAGACCACCCAGAGCACCAGAGCCCCCCCGCCAGCCTCCCATCCCACTGGATCCCTGGAACCCAACACCTCGGGGACCCCACTCTCAGACCCCCCCCCCCGACCTCCCTCTCTGGCCCAGGTTGGGTTTCGTTTCCCAGTGAGATCTGGTTTCCCCGTGGACATCAGGGTTTGGGGGCCCGGGGGGGGGCCGAGGCTCACCCAGGGTGACGAGGACGTGGCGGATCTCGGCGCCCATGACGGTGCCGTTGCCCTCCTTGTCGAAGACCCTCAGCCCCTCCACGTAGTCCTCGAAGCACCCCTGGTCCTTGTTCTTGGCGATCGTTTGCATCATGGGCAGGAACTGCTCGAAGTTCAGCGTCTTCACGTTCATCTCTGTGGGACAGAGCACATGTAGGAGGGCTGGGGGGCCGGGGGGGCCCGGGGGAGGGAATAGGGGGATCCCCCACTCACCATCACTCTTGGGGTTGCCCAGCACCTTCATGACCTCGGCGTTGGTGGGGTTCTGGCCCAGCGCCCGCATCACGTCCCCGCACTGGCTGTACAGGATCTTCCCATCGCCTGTGCGGTCGAAGAGCTGGAACGCCTCCTTGAACTCTGTGGGACCACCGTGTCAGCAGTGCCAGGACCCCCGGGGCACCGGGCTGCCCAACACGCCAGGACCCCCCGTGTCAGCGCTGCCAGGACTCCCACGTAAGCACTGCTGGGATCTCCAACCCACTGGGCACCCCCCCCATGTCAGCACCACCAGGACCCCCAGGGCACGGGGACCCCCGACTTAGCACCTCCAGAATCTCTGCATCAGCACCACTGGAACCTCTGCGGCAAAAGGACCCCCGACTCTGCACCTTCAGGACCCCCCGTGCACCAGGAGGCCCCCATGTCAGTGCCTTCAGGACCAGCAGCAGCGGGACCCCCGTGTCAGTGCCTCTGGGACCCTCAACACGCTGCCGGCCCTCCCATCCCGCTGTATCCCTGGAACTCAACACCTCCGGGACCCCACAGCCGCTTCCCCGGGACCCCGCACCTCGGGGACCCCACTCCCAGCCCCCCCTCCGGCTCCGGGTCGGGTTTCGTTCCCCGGTTGGATCCCGTTTCCCGGTGGGATCCGGTTTCCCGGTGGAACCCGACGCCGGCCGGGATGCAGGTCGGGCCGTCGCCCTCCGGATGCTGCCCGGGCCGAGCGGGAGCCCCGCGGATCCCGGAGAACCGGGAGCGCTCAGGAATCCGCGGCCCCGCCCCGCAGGAATGCGCGGCCGAGGCGCGCTGTGCCCATATAAGGGCAAATTGCGCAGGAGGGGCCCGGACACCCTCCGGTCCCGATGCCGGTCCCGCAGCCCCGGTCCCGCAGCCCCCAGTCCCGCAGCCCCCGGTCCCGCAGCCCCCGGATCCCCCCGGTGCCCCGGAGCGAACGGCCCCGCCCGGGACAGACTTTGCCCGGTAAAGGCCCCGCCCGCGGCCGCGCAGGAAGCGCTGGGGGCGGCGGGGCCGGTCCGGGGGGGGTCCGTTCCTGATACCCCGAGCTGGGGCGGGTCCAGCCCCGCTCCCGGTGCCGCTCCCGGTGCCCGGTGCCGGTCACTCACCCGCGGTTTGCTCCTCCGAGAAGTCGCACTGCGGGGGAGAGCGCGGCGGTCAGCGGGCACCGGCATCCCCCGGGGGGGATGGAGCGACCGCCCGGTGCCCGCCGAGCCCGCCCGGTGCCCCCCGCGCCCCCGCCGCATCCCCCGGTGCGACCCCCGCCCCGACCCCCCTCCAACCCCGCCCCGCCCGAGCATCCCCCCCCGCCCCCGCATCCCCCTCCGCCCCCGCATCCCCCGCCGCTCCCGGTGCCGCTCCCGGTGCCGCTCCCGGTGCCGCTCCCGGTGCCGCTCCCGGTGCCCACCATGGCGCCGGCCGCTCCCGTTCTCTCCTGCGTTTCTCGGGCGTCACCGCGCGCGGCGTCACCGCCGGTAATGAGGGCGGGGATTATTCATGAGGGAGGGTGGGGAAACCGGGAGACCACGCCCCTCCTCCTCCTCCCCGGGGGGGAAATGTTTTGGCTATAGATGGGCACGGAGCGGACACCCTCCCCACCCCACGGGGGGCACCTCCCCCGAGGGGACACCCCATCCCACGGGGGACACCCCATCCCACGGGGACATCCCACGGGGGACCCCCCAGGGGACACCAACCCCCCTCACGGGCCCCCCAGTGAGGGCATCCCAAGGGGGCACCCCACGGCCCACGGAGGGCACCCGGGACTGGACCCCACGGGGGACCCCTGTGGGACACCACCAACCCCCGGGACCCCCCTCAGGAACACGCGAAGCCGCCGCT